AGGCGGGAGACCAAGAACCTGCTGAAGGAGCAGAACGAAGTACGGTCGAGGCCGCGCGGCTACTCCAGACCCAGCAGGGACAGCACCAGTACCCCCAGCAGCAGCACCAGCGCCAGCAGCACCTCCAGCTCCAGCAGCACCAGTAGCACCCCCAGCAGCACAAGTAGCACCCCCAGCAGGACCTCCTCCAGGACCAACAGCAGTAGCCTCAGCGCCAACACCCTCAGCAGCTCCAGCTCCAGTCGTACCCGCAGGCCCAGCAGCTCCAGTGCTCCCAGTACGAGCACCTCCAGGACCCGCGGCACCAGCACCCTCAGCAGCCGAAGAACCTCCAGCTCCAGCAGCACGCCTCCAGCGCCGGGCAAACCACTCGCGCAGCTCCTGTGGAGAGAGTGGCTCCCGCCAAGACGAAACACCCAGAGAACCTCTAGGCCCAGCACCTCTAGACGCCACACGTGCAGGCCCAGCTCCCTAAGGCTCCACACCCCGAGGCTCAGCACCTCCAGGCGGAGCACCCCCAGGCTCAGCACCCCCAGGCATAGCACCCCCAGGCTCAGCACCCCCAGGCTCAGCACCCCCAGTAGTAGCACCCCCAGGCTCAGCACCCCCAGGCGTAGCACCCACACGCTCAGCACCCCCAGATTCAGCACCCCCAGGCTCAGCACCCTCAGCAGCACCAGAGTCACCAGTAACCTCGACAGGCTCGACTGTGTCTACCTGGGACACACCTGAAGGGGCAGGACCCTGAGGGGGGAGGGGGTCTACCGGGGGGGGACCTGGCACAAGGAAGAGCCATGGCGGGGGGAGGGACGGAGTGCGGTAGGAGAAGAGGCGGTAGTAGGGGACCGTCTCGTCAAACGTGACATCCTGGGAGGACAGAACACGGCGAGAGGTGGGGTGGTAGAACTGCCACCCTGGCGCGTCAGGGGGGAAGCCAAGGAAGACGCAAGGAGCAGCACGAGGGGACAGCTTGTCCGCAGACAAGTCGCGGACAAACGCCCAAGAACCCCAGACACGGAACGCAGACGCATCGCCGACCTTCCCCGTCCACAGCAAAGCTGGGGAGGTCTCCGGCATGGAGACCCTGGGGTGAAGGTTGATCTGATGCGCCGCGTACCGAACCGCAAACGGCCACAGAAAATGGGGGGCAGCCGCATGCATCATGGACGTACGGGCGACGTCCATGACCATGCCAATGCGGCGCTCAGCAATCCCATTTTGCTGTGGAGAGTCCGGAAGCGTGAAGGTCTGGCGGATGCCTCGTGCACGTCAGTAGGCTCGTAGAAGGCCAGAGGAGAACTCTCCGCCTGTGTCAGAGTGCAGACGCAGAACAGGAAAGTCCGAGCCAAAGCTCTGCCTGAGCTGGAGACGAGCTGCGTGGATCCAGTCGATCAACTTCTCAGTGACATCACCCTTGCTGCGCAAGGGGAAGACTGTGGTGTAACGCGAGTAGTCGTCAACCACCAGCAGGAAGTAGCGCTCGTGACCCTGTCCACGGACGCGGGCCGCGCCCCACACGTCCATGTGAAGCGTCTGCAGCGGGGCCTCTGTCGGAGGAAACTAGGAGGAGTGAGGGGCAGCCCACTGCCGCCCCTCGACACAGGGGACGCAGCTAGGGCCAGGCCCCGGAGGAAGGGGAGGGAGGGACCGGGGAAGACCAGAGACAAGGACACGAGAGGCCATGCCTCGGAGACGAAGCAGGGAGGGGTGACCAAGACGGTGGTGCCAGAGGAGAGTCTCGTGAGACAGGAGGCGACACGAGCAGGGGGCAGACTCAGGACCAGACCTGGACGCTGCAGCAAACACCTGATCCGACGCAGCTACCTGACCGGACGCAGTGACTGGAGGAGACGGAATGGTCAGTGTGTACAGGCTCGACCCCGGCCGACGTGTAAACGTGGCCAGGTGTCGGCCTGTCCAAGCGTCCGTGTAGTGGGTCACCCGCTGACTCGCAGGAGTGAATTGGTGAACCCCCGCATCCTGTAGGTCAGCACCACTCACCAAGTTCGTAGAGAACGAGGGGAGGTAAAGGCCAGATAGGGTGCCAGAGGGGTCCGCCGCACACGGGAGGACAGTGGAGAAGTGAGCAAGGACAGGACCCCCAGAGGGGTCTGCCAGAGAGACTGCAACTGGCCGGCCAAGCGGCGTGAGTATGGTGCGGTCTCGAAAGAAGGAGCGAGAAGCCCCCGAGTCAAGGGTGAAGGTGTAGGAGGCCGAAGCCGACGCAGTACCTGAGAGAGCAGACTCACCAGCACCTGAGGGAGCAGACGCACGAGCACCTAGAGCAGCAGCCTCGCTAGCACCTAGAGCAGCAGCCTCACCAGTACCTAGAGCAGCAGTCTCAATGCCCGGGTTGGGCGGAAAACACCGGTAACAGTCACCCTCATCACTAATAGTCACAGCATACATGGCAGCAAGAATAGCATCAAAGTCAAGGTCAAAGACAGCTACTCCCGCCCTAGACAGCTCGCCCCAGCGGGGGATCTCAGCGGCCTCCGGGAACTGGTGACGCCAAGCCCGTCAGGCGGCCAAAGCAGCGCTGGGTGGAGTGCGCACCCCCGCACTGCTCACCCGCGCGGTCACCGGTGCGTAGGACGTAGGTGCACAGACCAGTACCCCTACCCCGCTGGCGTGCAGCGTACCACTCACGGAGCTGCTGAGGGGGGGGGATGTCACGAGTGCGCTGCTGGTGCTGGCGCTGACCACCACCGGAGCCGACCCTCTGCGCAGCGCCACCCCGACCAGCTCCACCTCCTCCACCACCGCCTCCTCCACCGCCGCCACCTCCGCCACCTCCGCTCCCACTGCCACCACCGCCGCCGCCTCCGCCTCCACTGCCGCCACCGACACCTCCACCCCCGCCACCACCCCCACCGCCACTCCCACCCCCTCCGCCGCCTCCACCGCCGCCTCCACCGCCCCCGCTAGCTCCTCCAGCGCCCCTGCCCCCCTTGCCCTTGCCAGGGCGGCGTCTTCCGCTAGGGGCAGACGCCGCACCGACCGACTCAAGACCAACGAGGTCGGCCGTAGCAGCAGAGGCAACAGAGGGCAAAAGGGGGGAGGGGGAACACCCCTCAAAGATGGGGGTGCGAGGGTCACCACGAGAGGCTCCTACAGCTACTATGCTCTTCTCTGCTGCTAGGAGGGCCTTCTCGAGGAGGTCAACGTTGAGAGTGGTGGGGAAAACGGAGAGGAAGTGGTCCCTGACTACGTGAAGAGAGTCAGGGAGCCGAGTGACTATGTAGTAGAGGGTGATGTACATGGGGGGGGGGGGGGGGGCTCTTGGCGCAGAACTCAGCAGGAAGCGCAGCGCGGTAGCGAGTGTCACTAGTGCGGAGGTGCGTAATCGTTGAGTGTATGCTGGTGGCCAGTATGAGCTCAGTGAAGCCCCCCTTGAAGGACATCATCCAGAAGTTGAAAGTGCACCCCGACGATGTGACAGTACAAGCAAGGTCAAGAAGTGAGCAAGTGAGGCAAGGCAGGCACAAGACCAAGCTGAGTACAGAAGCGCTGATGATCACAAGGCGCAAGTGCCTTAGTGAAGGTATCAGCAGTGTTGGCCTCAGAGGCCACGTACGCAAGTCGCAACTGACCACGCTGCTGCAGCTCACGAGCAAGAAAGTAGCGGAGAGCAATGTGCTTCGTTCTGTGCTCTAGGCGCTGCTCCCGACACAAGGCCAGCATGGCCTTGTTGTCTACGTACAGCACTGGAGGAGAACAAGGCGGCTCTCCGAGGTCAGCCAACAGGTAGGTGAGCCAGCGATGCTCCTGAGCAGCCATGGCTCCTGCGTAGATCTCAGCCTCACAACTGGAGCCGAGAACGGAAGACGAGCGAGTAGCCCTCCACGAAACAGAGCCGGAACCAAGGCTGAAGGTGTAACCCTGCGACGACCGCTGTGTAGCCTAGTCGTCAGCCCAAGAAGCGTCTGCGTGCCCAGTGAGGACCACTGGACTCTGCCCTCCAAGCACTAGCCCCATGCCCGACGTACTGCACAAGTAGCGCAACACCCTCTTCGCTGCAGCCATGTGCTCCGGTCTGTGTCTCCCAGGAGCAACATAGCGTGCAAGAATGCTAAGAGGGTATGCAAGGTCAGGTCGTGTGCAGGTCATCAGGTACATGAGGCAGCCAACAAGCTCTGGGTACGGGCCACTCGACTCTACGGACTCATCCGAAGGCAGAGCTGAGAGCGAGTGGCGAGTAGGCAGAGGAGTGGCCTGAGGCGAGGAGTACGTGAAGCCGAAGCGCTGAAGGACCTGCTGCACCATGTGTGACTGAGTCAGGGTAATGGTGCGGCGTGCTCTGTCCCGGGTGATCTGCAAGCCAAGGTAGCTGCGCAGTTCACCCAGGTCTGTGCACGTGTGTCTCTTCTGCAGCTCGGACTTCACGTGGGCGAGTCCAGTAGTGTCAGCAGTGGCAAAGACCAAGACGTGGACGTACACAAGGATGTAGAACGGCGGCAAAGAGGTGTCGGTGCGCAGAAACAGCGACAGGTCGGCAGTAGAGGGAGCAAACCCAAGAGCCGCAAGCGTAGTCCTCAGTGTGTCGTGCCACTCACGCGGTGCCTGGCGGAGACCGTAGACTGGCCGCCGGAGGCTCCACTGGGTGCCAGGAGGAAAAGTCCCAGTGAAGCCAGGTGGACGGCGCAGCCAGATCTCCTCGTGCAGGCTACCCTGCAAGAAAGCAGTGCTGAAGTCAAGAGAGTGAAGCTCGTAGTCGCGCTGAGCGGCTATGTGCAGCAGCACCCGAAGAGTGGTCATCTTCGGGGTGGGAGAGAAGGTCTGAAACTAGTCAACTCCCTGCCGCTGACTGAAGCCACGAGCCACGTACCGCGCCTTGAAGACAGGTGGAGAACCTGGCGGCCGCTTCACCCTGAAGATCCACATGCCACTGACGATGTTCGCCCCAGGTGGGGGAACCGCGTCAACGTAGGTGCATGTGGACTTCCAGGAATCCATCTCTGCATCCATAGCTGCCTGCCACTGAGAGGAGTAGGGACCCTCTACGGCCTCTGCGTAAGAGCGCGGAGTCGGGATGTCAAGTGCATCCGGGTCTCCCTCAGGGGTAAGCAGTACGGACACGAGATGAGGTGAAGCAGCAGCCAGACACTGGAACTCCTCCTGCCTGTCCTCAAGGACGTCCGTGCCAAGGGCACACTCACCCCCGACGGACGGAGGACAGACAGACTCAGACTCAGCGACAAGACTAGCAGCGTAGTCTAGACGACAGCGAGCATCAAAGTCAACGAGCTCAGCAACTAGGGCAGACGCAGCAAAGGACTCAAAAGAAGGGTCAGTGACGACAGTAGCAAGGAGACGCGTGACAGTAGGACTGGCAGCACGAAGAGAGTCCGACTCCGGGTCGGCAAGAGCAGGAAGAGAAGACTCAGGAGGAGAAAGCAAAGGGGCACGCAGAGGAGCAGTGGACGGACGCAGAGACATCCGGTGCGTGCCAGGGACAGGAGGAGGACGCTGACGCGAACCGCGGCCACTAGTGCGTGCAGCACGGACAGGCGACGCAGGGCGAGACGCAGGCTCACGTCGCTCAGCAAGACCTCCAGTAGGACCAGTGTAGGGAGACGGAGCAGGCAGTCGGGAGGCCGGCAGTAACTGTAGCTGTGACGGGTCAGGCGGTGGACACTCTAAGGGAGGAGGAGGACTAGTGGAAGGCGGGAGACCAAGAACCTGCTGAAGAAGTGGAACGAAGTACGGTCGAGGCCGCGTGGCGACTCTAGACACAGCAAGGACAGCACCAGCACCCCCAGCGGCACCACCAGTGCCAACAGTACCTCCAGCTGCAGTACCTCCAGCAGCACCAGCAGCACCCGCAGTAGGACCGCCGCCAGGACTGACAGCAATAGCCTCAGCGCCAACACCCTCAGCAGCTCCAGCTCCAGTCGTACCCGCAGGCCCAACAGCTCCAGCACTCCCAATACGAGCACCTCTGAGACCGGCGGCACCAGCACCCTCAGCAGCCGAAGAAGCACCAGCTCCAGCAGAACGCCTCCAGCGCCGGGCAAACCACTCGCGCAGCTCCAGTGAAGAGAGTGGATCCTGCCGAGACGAAGCACGCGGAGTACCTCCAGGCCCAGCACCGCCAGACGCCACACAAGCAGGCCCAGCGGCCGCCGGCTCCGCACCCCCAGGCTCAGCAGCTCCATACGTGGCACCCCCAGGCTCAGCACCCCCAGGCTCAGCACCCCCAAGCGTAGCACCCCCAGGCTCAGCACCCCCAGGCGTAGCACCCCCAGGCTCAGCACCCCCAGGCGTAGCACCCGCAGGCCCAACACCCCCAGTCTCAGCACCCCCAGGCTCAGCACCCCCAGTAGAACCACCCGAAGGCCCAGCACCCCCAGGCGTAGCACCCACACGCTCAGTACCCCCAGAGTCAGCACCCCCAGGCTCCGCACCCGCAGCAGCACTAGAGTCACCAGTAACCTCGACAGGCTCGACTGCGTCTACCTGGGACACACCTGAAGGGGCAGGACCCTGAGGGGGGAGGGGGTCTACCGGGGGGGGACCTAGCACAAGGAAGAGCGGTGGCGGGGGGAGGGAAGGAGTGCGGTAGGGGAAGAGGCGGTAGTAGGGGACCGACTCGTCAAACGTGACGTCCTGGGAGGACAGAACACGACGAGAGGAGGGGTGGTAGAACTGCCACCCTGGCGCGTTAGGGGGGAAGCCAAGGAAGACGCAAGGAGCAGCACGAGGGGACAGCTTGTCCGCAGACAAGTCGCGGACAAACGCCCGAGATCCCCAGACACGGAACGCAGACGCATCGCCTACCTTCCCCGTCCACAGCAAAGCTGGGGAGGTCTCCGGCATGGAGACCCTGGGGTGACGGTTGATCTGATGCGCCGCGTACCGAACCGCAAACGGCCACAGAAAATGGGGGGCAGCCGCATGCATCATGGACGTACGGGCGACGTCCATGACCATGCCAATGCGGCGCTCAGCAATCCCATTTTGCTGTGGAGAGTCCGGAAGCGTAAAGGTCTGGCGGATGCCTCGCGCACGACAGTAGGCTCGCAGAAGGCCAGAGGAGAACTCTCCGCCTCGGTCAGAGTGCAGACGCAGAACAGGAAAGTCCGAGCCGAAGCTCCTCCTGAGCTGGAGACGAGCTGCGCGGATCCAGTCGATCAGCACCTCAGTGACATCACCCTTGCAGCGCAAGGGGAAGACTGTGGTGTAACGCGAGTAGTCGTCAACCACCAGCAGGAAGTAGCGCTCGTGACCCTGTCCACGGACGCGGGCCGGGCCCCACACGTCCATGTGAAGCGTCTGCAGCGGGGCCTCTGTCGGGGGAAACTGAGAGGAGTGAGGGGCAGCCCGCAGCCGCCCCTTGACACAGGGGACGCAGGTAGGGCCAGGCCCCGGAGGAAGGGGAGGGAGGGACCGGGGAAGACCAGAGACAAGGACACGGGAGGCCATGCCTCAGAGACGAAGCAGGGAGGGGTGACCAAGGCGGTGGTGCCAGAGGAGAGTCTCGTGAGACAGGAGGCGACACGAGCAGGGGGCAGACTCAGGACCAGACCTGAACGCTGCAGCAAACACCTGACCCGACGCAGCTACCTGACCAGACGCAGGGACAGGAGGAGACTCAGTGGTCAGGGTGTACAGGCTCGACCCCGGGCGACGCGTAAACGTGGCCAGGTGCCGGCCTGTGCGAGCGTCCGAGCAGTGGGTCACCCGCTGACTCGCAGGAGTAAACTGGTGAACCCCCGCATCCTGTAGGTCAGCACCACTCACCAAGTTCGAAGAGAACGAGGGGAGGTAAAGACCAGACAAGGTGCTAGAGGGGGCCGCCGGACACGGGAGGTCAGTGGAGAAGTGAGAAAGGACAGGACCCCCAGAGGGGTCTGCCAGGGAGACTGCAACCGGCCGACCAAGCGGCGTGAGTGTGGTGCGGTCTCGAAAGAAGGAGCGAGAAGCCCCTGAGTCAAGTGTGAAGGTGAGGGAGACCGAAGCCGACGCGGTACCTGCGAGCGCAGACTCACCAGCACGTGAGGACGCAGACGCACTGGCACCTAGAGCAGCAGCCTCACTGGCACCTAGAGCAGCAGCCTCACCAGTACCTAGAGCAGCAGTCTCAATGCCCGGGTCGGGCGGGAAACACCGGTAACAGTCACCCTCATCACTAATAGTCACAGCATACATGGCAGCAAGAATAGCATTAAAGTCAAGATCAAAGATAGCTACACCCGCCCTAGACAGCTCACCCCAGCGGGGGATCTCAGTGGCCTCCGGGAACTGGTGACGCCAAGCGTCCGTCAGGCGGCCAAAGCAGCGGTGGGTGGGGTGTGCACCCCCACACTGCTCACCCGTGCGGTCGCCGGTGCGTAGGACGTAGGTGCACGGACCGGTACCCCCACCACGCAGACGTGCAGCGTACCACTCACGGAGCTGCTGAGGGGGGGGGATGTCCCGTCAACGCTGCTGCTGCTGCTGCTGCAACTGCTTGCGCTGACCACCACCGGAGCCGCCCCGCTGCGTAGCGCCACCCCGACCAGCTCCACCTCCTCCACCACCGCCTCCTCCACCTCCGCCACCACCGCCGCCTCTGCTCCCACCGCTACCGCCTCCGCCGCCTCCGCCTCCACTGCCGCCACCAACACCTCCACCCCCGCCACCACTCCCACCGCCACCCCCACTCCCTCCGCCGCCTCCACCGCCGCCTCCACCGCCCCTGCTAGCTCCTCCAGCGCCCCTGCCCCCCTTGCCCTTGCCAGGGCGGCGTCTCCCGCTAGGGGTAGACGCCGCACCGACCGACTCAAGCCCAACGAGGTCGGCCGCAGCAGCAGAGGCAACAGAGGGCAAAAGGGGGGAGGGGGAACACCCCTCAAAGATGGGGGTGCGAGGGTCACCACGAGAGGCTCCTACAGCGACTATGCTCTTCTCCGCTGCTAAGAGGGCCTTCTCGAGGAGGTCAACAGTGAGAGTGGTGGGACAGACTGAGAGGAAGTGGTCTCTGACTACACGAAGGGAGTCAGGGAGGCGGGTGACTATGTAGTAGAGAGTGATGTACATGGGGGGGGGGGTTCCTGGCGCAGAACTCAGCAGGAAGCGCAGCGCGGTAGCGAGTGTCACTAGTGCGGAGGTGCGTAATGAGGTCAGCAACTGTGGGAAAGGCAGCAAGGTCAGGGAAGAGGTACGGTAGCATGAGGCGGCTCAGTGCAGTAGTGGCAGGGGAAGAGTAGCGCGCAACTACAGCGTCGTACAAGGTCTGAGCACTCTTGTACTGATTAAAGTGCGCGCGCTCAGTGGTAGGGAGGTGGCGACGCACAGCAAGACGTGCAGCAGCATCGCGAGTGGCCCACTGTGAGCGAACAGTGGCGTCGGCATCGGCAGCAGGGGCAGGGGAAGCACCAGATGTGAGGTCAAAGAGGGAGAGACCGTCTGCCCCATCGCACTGTAGGAAAAGCTGCAGGTCATCTACCCAGACATCAAAGTCAATGGCCCGACCCTCAGCGTCAAAAGTGAGAACACTGGGGGTAGCCATGACAACAGTAGACTAGCAGCGCTAACTGTAGAGCAGGGGCAGTGCAGTGACAGAGGCGCTGCGCTCACCAGACAGGGCGGTTCGGGCAGCTCGGGCGGCTCGGCAGCAACTGCGGCTCGGCGACACCCCCGGCTCGGCTCCTCAGCTGCTCAGGCGGCTCGGGCGGCTCGGGCGGCTCGGGTGGCTCGGGCGGCTCGGGTGGCTCGGGCGGCTCGGGCGACTCAGGCGGCTCGGGTGGCTCGGGCGGCTCGGGCGGCTCGGGCGGATCGGGCGGCTCGGACTGCTTAGCGGCGCGGGCGGCTCGGCTGCGTAGGCGGTTCGGGCGGTAGGGGACGAGGCCGGGACCGCAGGTAGTGCGCCGGAGCCGCAGGTAGGGCGGCGGGGCCGTTGGTAGGGCGGCGGGGCCGCAGGTGGGGCGGCGGGGCCGCAGGTAGGGCGGCGGGGCCGCAGGTAGGGCGGATGGGCCGCAGGTAGGGCAGCTGGGCCGCAGGTAGGGCGGCTGGGCCGCAGGTAGGGCGGCTGGGCCGCAGGTAGGGCGGCTGGGCCGCAGGTAGGGCGGCGGGGCGGGGCCGTAGGTAGGGCGACGGGGCCGGGTCGAAGGTAGGGCGACGGGGCCGGTGCGCAGGTAGGGCGACGGGGCCGGGGCCGGGGCGCAGGTAGGGCGACGGGGCCGGGGTCGGAGGTGGGGCAACGGGGCCGGGGTCGCAAGCAGGGCGACGGGGCCGGGGCCGGGGCGCAGGTAGGGCGACGGGGCTAGGGCCGGGGCCGCAGGTATGGCGACGGGGCCAGGGTCGCAAGGGGGGCGACGGGGCCGGGGTCGCAGGTAGGGCGACGGGGCCGGGGCGCAGGTAGGGCGACGGGGCCGGGGCGCAGGTAGGGCGACGGGGCCGGGGCGCAGGTAGGGCGACGGGGCCGAGGCGCAGGTAGGGCGACGGGGCCGGGGCCGTAGGTAGGGCGACAGGGTCGCTAGGGCGACGAATCAGGGGCCGCTAAGGCGGCGCGACTTGGCCGCTAGGGCGGCTCGACGAAGTCAGAGAAGGGAGCGCGACTCGGGCTGAGCACGCTCCGGGCAGGAAAAAAAAATCTTTCGACTTGGTGGGCCCTAGGCACAGTTCCCACGAGGGAACCTGCTCGATACCATGTGAATACTGAAACAAGAATGATGCACTAAGGAATGGAATGTGGTACAAATATGCAACCCTAGAAATGTGTACCCCATATAGCCTACCCCACTACAGCCTACAGAACATTATGATTTGACACCTGGAAGGCGCTGACGGCGGCAACGATGCAAAGGAGCTGGTGGAGGGCGGGATGCGTCCCGGAGTCATGGTGGCCGCTAATGTGGCACCTGCACGGCATGTATTCGGCAGGCATGTACGAGCCACTTGTCTCTACCACGGCGGACCTCCTGGTGCTGCTACGTGAGTTCCGTGTGCGTCCAGCGTTGTATATGCCGGCGTCCGACTACGTGACATGCGATGAGTGGTTAATGGAGCAGGCAGGAGTGAAGTTGGTGACGCCCACTACACCCACGTCTTCAGGGGACGAGGGTGAAATGTGCCTTCCGGATGGGCCTCTGATGCGAGACGAACGAAGCCGTCGGCGTGCCATCCGCAATGTGACGCACGCGTACGTGTGTCACGCTGAGGCGCTGGGGATTGCCCCAGCGGAAGTGGCGCCTGTTGTTGGCGCCTCTAATGGAGAGGTGGTGAGCCGCCTAAACCGCACACCGAAGAAGCGTGCGCACAGTTCTGGGTCGTCCGACAGTGCATCCGTGTAGTGCGCTAGCTGTGATGTTGTTGTGGGGAGGGGGGTTGTAGGGTGGGCGTGGTTTGTAGATGTGGTTGCGGGCTGACGGTAGAGTATGGCTTTGTGTGTTGTTGTGCTTTGTAAGTCTGAACGCGGAGATTTTTGCAAATGGCACATTTTAACTATGGGAAGTAGCCGGTTTGCAGAGGCATATCGTTGGTTGCGTATGTTGGTTACGGTTTTCGGAATAAGTGTGTAGATAGGCTTGACGCGGAAACTGTAGCGGGGTTTGTGGGACACGCTAATACCGAGTATTGTGAACGCTCTGGGCCCGAGCCGCATGTGTTCGAGGCGCCTTCATAGAGGCGGCGCGGATAATGGCGCAGGTGACGGCAAAGTCACAGTTTGGTGGCGGTAATGTTGTGGTCGAGTGTGCGGTTATTGATGGTGGGGATGTTGCATTTTACGGACCTTGTTTTTTTTACACATGTCGCAACAATCACGCAAGGCCCACGCAGAAAAACCTTCGGCCACCCAAAAACGCAATTTCCCTTTCCCGCGATGACGCTTATAACGCGAAAGGTAAGGAATTTAAGTACAACCTTTTGGGGAACAACAATATGAAGTTCCTGGTGCAGCAGAATTGGGACCTGGAAACGGGCGCGTGCGTCATGCAGACGACCCCTGCTACTGGCGGTGGTACCGGCGGTAGCACCGGCGACGGTGGTACTGGCGGTAGTACTGGCGGTACTACTGGCTAGGCGACGCAATGATGGAATGCGATTTTTCATGTCAAGTCACAAAATCCCCAAAACATTAGAGCTTGTTTTTATGCAATAATAAATTCTGATAGTTATGACCTTTACCATGCAAGTTTTCTTAATCGTTACAATCCAGTCATACAAAAAAAAAAGTGTCTACAGTCAAACTCCTATGACCTACATGAACTGAATGCGGCATTCACTTGAAAGACAACAATATAGATAATGGTATGAAATGCAGAGCATGTAGTCAGGGTCACCTAAACCCCAACCACACCTGCCCTTGTCAGTTCCGCCCTCACCTGCTACATCCATATCAACTACAATCACATCGATACAGTCACGCCTCAGCTACAGCCATGTCTACTCCAGCATGACTTTTTATCTGTGGAAGCCTCAAGTCCAGACCCTTATCCTGCACCGCCTGCACCACCAAATCGTATTGCTCCACCTGCTACAGCCCACTCTGCTACAGCCATGTCTGCTCCAGCTGGACTTTATCTGTGGAAGCCTCTAGCCCCTTCTCCTGCACTGCCTGCACCAGCAGGTCGTATTGCTCCTCTACTGCCGCAAACAGTGCGTCGCGGTACTTCTCTGCAGCCTGCTTATAATGAGGATGGGCACGTGAGGGGCACAGTGAGAAGGGGGGAGGGGGCATGGAGAAGAGTGGGAAAGGAAGGGAGGTGGGATGACTGCCTTACCATCCAATCCCTTCTACTGCACTGCCTGCACCAGCAGGTCGTATTGCTCCTCCACTGCCACAAACAGCGCGTCGCTGTACTTCTCTGCAGCCTGCTTATAAGGAGGATGGGCACGTCAGGGGCGCAGTGGGATAGGGGGGGAAGGAATGGGAAAGAGTAAGAACGGAATGGAGGCCTGGACGCTTATCCCTAAATTTGCATCAGATGCCTTGTTTCCCCATTTCCCACATCCCTCCCCTCCTCACATACCTCCTCTTCTCACCTCCCTCTTCTATCCACCTCCCCCCTCTCCACACATGTTGAAGAAAAATACTCTGCTGACCATCCACATCTCTCCAGTTCGCCAGTTCCCTCCTCGCCTCCTCTCCGACACTCAACGACACACAGCCCGATCCCCTCCTCTCTCACCACTCACTCAGCTCCACTACCCTCCACCTTCGCTCAGTGGCACATGGCTCAAACCACCCATCTCAATCTCACCAAGCCACCCTCCTACAGCAAACTCCTCTCCCCTCCTCCTGTCAAGTAGGATATTCAGACCAATCGCTCACCTCCCTGCGGTCCTCGATGCCAGCCATCACGGTACCAAAGTCCACCTCCTCCCCCACGCTCAACAGCCCAGACCTTTCATAACTGTTACAGCACACCTCTCATCAAACAAAAAGCTCACCTCTCTGCGGTCCTCGATGCCAGCCGTCACGGTACCAAAGTCCACCTCCTCCCCCACGCTCAACAGCCCAGACCTTTCATAACTGTTACAGCACACCTCTCATCAAACAAAAAGCTCACCTCCCTGTGGTCCTCGATGCCAGCCGTCACGGAGCGACTGTGGGAAAGGCAGCAAGGTCAGGGAAGAGGTACGGTAGTATGAGGCGGCTCAGTGCAGCAGTGGCAGGGGAGGAGTAGCATGCAACTACAGCGTCGTACAAGGTCCGAGCACTCTTGTTCTGACTAAAGTGCGCACGCTCAGAGGTAGGCAGGTGGTGACGCACAGCAAGACGTGCAGCAGCATCGCGTGTGGCCCATTGTGAGCGAACAGTGGCGTCAGCATCAGCAGCAGGGGCAGGAGAGGCACCAGAAGTGAGGTCAAAGAGGGAGAGACCGTCTGCCCTATCGCACTGTAGGAAAAGCTGCAGGTCATCTACCCAGACGTCAAAGTCAATGGCCTGACCCTCAGCGTCAAAAGCGAGGACACTAGGGGTAGCCATGATAGCAGTAGACTAGCAGCGCGAACAGTAGGGTAAGGGCAGTGCAGTGACAGAGGCGCTGCTCTTACCGGACAGGGCGGCTCGGGCGGCTCGGCGGTTCGGGGGGTCGGCGGCTCGGCGGCTCGGCGGCTCGGGCGGCTCGGCGGCTCGGCGGCTCGGGCGGCTCGGCGGCTCGGCGGCTCGGCAGCAACTGCGGCTCGCCGACTCGGCGGCGCTGGCGGCTCGGCGGTACGGCGGCTCGGCAGCTCAGCGACCCGGCGGCTCGGGCGGCTCAGGTGGCGCGGCGACTCGGGCGGCTCAGGTGGCTCGGGCGGCTCGGCAGTAGGTCGGCGGCGCCGGCGGCTCGGTGGTGACGGCGGGGCCGCGTGGGGAAGGCGGCGGGGCCGGTAGAGGCAGCGCCGGGGCCGGGAAGGGTAGCGCCGGGGCCGAAGGGTAGGCGACTGGGCCAGCAGAGGCGGCGCCGGGGCCGGGAAGGACGGCGCCGGGGCCGGGAAGGGCGGCACTGGGGCCGGGAAGGGCGGTGCCGGGGCCGCAGGGGTAGGCGACGGGGCCGCAGGATAGGCGCCGGGGCTGCAGGG